CAGGGCGAGGTATCAGAAATGTTTTAAAACACCTAGTGACGCCCCTGGTGGGGGCCATATATAATTGAGGGGGGGAGCATATTCATGCGCGAATGAATGCGATGGATTAAAAAAAAAGAAAGAAAAGCCACATATATCGCAATTACCCCAGTCGAACACGTTTTACAAACAGTTTTTTGACCTGATGTGTATAATTGGGGGGGGGGGACTATACAATTGTGTGTGTGTGTGTGTGTGTGTGTGTGTGTGTGTGTGTGTGTGTGTGCGTGCACGCGTGTGGTAGGCAATGGATTTCAAGCCCAACTTTGTGTTCATGCCACCCGGTATGAAGTATTTACGGCTGCAGTGCACCGCTGAGGCAACAAAGCTGGCCAAAGCATACAGGTAGGTACATCCATGCTTTCATTTCAAAAGCGTCATTGCAAAGTAGGCTAATACACCTTATTTATTGTTATAGATCGAAGCCTGCTGCTTCCACCTGCAAGAGCGCTTCCCTGGTGAAGGAGGAGGCCGTGGCCCGCGTTGTCCAAGGCGGAGGAGACCCTGAGTGCTGGCAACTGGTGCTCAGCGAGACGACGCTCCAGTTCGGCCAGTACCGGGGCCAAACGTTCAAATGGCTCCTTGCAAACGACGTGGGCTACTGCGCCATGGTCGTGGCCTCCCACCAGAAGGAGCGCGACAACGGCGACACGTCGCAGTCACCCCTGGCAGCGAATAAAGACGCTCTGGCGACGTACGCGCGCGTCTTCCCAGAGATGGCCGCTGTCGTGCGGCATCGGCTGATGGTGATGGGAGCACCGTTGGTCAGGGAGCTCGATCAGCAACTGCTGAAAATGGGACAGTTCCCCGGCGAAAGCTACTCTTCTCTCTACGAGTCGACTGATGAGCGGCACCGAGCGTAAATTGCCTTTGTTTATGTATGGGGAGGGGAAAACTTGTCATTGCTTAACTAACTCGTGTATTTTTCGTTTTTGGTTTCTGTGTGTAGGTATGTGCGTCACATACGCACAGTGACTGCTACGCCGGGCTCTTTCTTGCACAACTTGAACGCCTACATTGTGGGGCGAGACAATGAGGCAAATTACAAAGTGTCTCGTCCAGGTAAACGACTCATGGGTCCAAACGGCCCCACATTCTGCCAATTTGCATCTCTGTATCTCCAACGACTGACCTCGAATGGCCGCATGATTGCGCCAATTTGCATCTCTGTACAGCCACGAGCGAGCGGCCGTCAGCACTGTCCGAGCCATCGGACGACGTCCTCCTCGCAGCTGCCATGGAGGTGGAGTCTCAGTGTGAGTGACTTCATTGTGTCGGTCGGGGGGCGGGAGATGCACAGACAGAGAAATTAAAGTGAGAAGTGACTTTATTTCATCTCGCCACCAGCGTCCCAGCCTTCCACTTCGTCTGCCAGCGGCGCTGCCGCCCACGCGCTCTGGGCCAGCGGTGATACGCTTCCACAGCTGTTGGCGCCAAAGCAGCAGGGCGTGCTCCCAAAGGGCTGGGCCGCCACACTGCCCGAGAGCGAGCACGCGTGGGTCGGCCGAGCGCTGTTCGGGAGAACGGCCGGTGGCCG